TATAAAAGATACATAATTAAAAAAATATAACGAATCTTTGTATAGATAAATATTAAATTCATGATAAATAATTTATATTATCACTTTTTTAACAATTGATAATTTATTTTATAAATTAAAATTTAATTTATAAATAAATATAATAAATAAAAATATTGAGTTAGAAAAAAATTAAAAAATTTCTAAAAATCCTCTCACAAGATAGTTATTTATATTTAATATATAGAAATTGATTGATTTTTTAAAATATTAAATTTTAATTCATAAATAAATATGATAAAAAAAATAAATTAATTTTTTTTAGAAGTATTCTGACCAAGAAATATGTTTTCAATGTTCGTATTTAATATATAAGATTTAATCTTGAAATGTGTTATAAACAACCATCTTCATTAAATATTAATATTTTCTGTTCTTCATAAAATATTTATGATCTTTTAATTATACATTTTTCATTTTTACTTCATATTATTTGTTAATGTGTAAATTAATTAAAAATTAAATAAAAATATAGATATAATTTACAAAAATCAATTAATATTTTTTTTTAAAGGGAAATAAATAAAAGCAAAACTCTACTTATAAAACCCACATTTAAAAAAAAATAATCGAATCATAAAGGCTCAATAAATCCTTTAGAAGAATTTCAAAATTTACCTATACACATGCAAAACACTCTTTATATATATTTACTCTAAAAAAACATTCGACCACTAGAATTAGCCTAGTAATTAAATAATGAACGATTGAAGTAGTTAGAAACATGAGAACCTAAGTTCAATTTTAATTTGTAACCAATCTTTTCAATCTTTATAAAAAAAAATCCTAAAAAAAAATTCTATATAGAATTAAATGCGTGATTTAGTACTAGTGCATCTTCAGAGGCCATGTGATTTATTTTTCTTTCTTTTCTGATAGTTAGGAAAACATGTGATGATATATCAAAAGTAGGTACAGAGAAAAAAGTTTTCTTTCAGTACTTTTTTGGTGGTTATCATTTTTTTTCTTTTTTAATCATTATAAAAATATTAATGGATCTAAAACTTTGGCTGCTAAATGGAGAGCAATAGGTTTGTCCAAACTCCAAAGAGTAAAGAATGAAGAATGAAGAAGGAAGAGTCATAAGGTATAGAGAATAGAGTTATTATTAATGGTAACATAAGGAATAAATTGAACCTGGACCGTGTTTATAGTATTCATCTTAGGTGGCTAAAAGTGATTGATTAATATTAATATTCCTAGGTGGAGGCTTTATGATTCATTATCTCATATCATCTTAAAATAATTATTTATTTCTTTATATAAAACTTAATTTATATTATTTAATCTATTAATTAATTTTAGATTAAAATATATTTTTTAATTTGATAAAATAGATTAATTATATATTTTATAAAAAAATATACACCTTAATTAATAAAAATAAATAAATAATAATTAAAAGAGATAAATAATATAAAATATACACTCTAATTAAAAAATATATAAATATTAACTAGAAAAAAATTTTAAAAGAAAAAAATATAAATAAAAAAATTTATTATTATCAACTAAATTAATTATTTTTATTAATATTAAGTCTTAAATATAAAAATAAATGTAATATTCTCTTTAAACTCATAAATAAGCAAAAAGGTATCTAAATTTTGTTGACTTGAATATAAGTAAAATTTAATTAAGTTGACCTTATTTAATGTTATTATATAAATTTTTTTTAATTTAAATATAATTATTATTTTTAATAAATATTATTATGTGTAATTTAGAAAGTAAAATTTAGTTTTTTTATGTGAAATAAATAAAATTATTTAATTTTCTTAGTGCATGTAAATATACGTGTTTTTTTTCTTCTTCTTATAAACGAGTTCAGAGAGAATATTATCTATAACATTATATAAAAAGCTTGTGTTTCCGGAAGGCGTATATTAATATTTATTATCTTGGGTTTAAACCAACACCAAAATCTTTGTTATTGACGCAAACCAGGATAGCTCTTTCCTTATCTTCTCCGATTCCGAGGTGTAGTAGTAGTGTGCGTTGTTTCACAATCACTCCCTCGTGTCACTTCAATTCTGTTAATTGGGTATGGCTTTTCTTCATTTAATTCACCCTTCTCTCTAATTAAGCATCTCAAACCGCTATTTTTGACGTGATTTAATTCTGTCTCTTTCTTTCTTTAATTTATTTTTGATGGGGTTGTTTTTATTGTATGGAAAATGATGGAAAGCTTGCAACTTTAAGTTTCGGATGTGGAAAATTTGGTATTTATGTGATTCCCCGAATTTCTGCTTTATTGTCTTTTGGGTTTCTCAGCAACAAAAGCAATTTTCTGAGCATAAACCAAATAGTCCAAAATGTTGGGAGTTTGCTTTGCTTTGCATTTTGGGGAGCTCCTGTTATGTCATTCTTCTTAAGAATGGATTAAAATTTGAGAAATAAACCATGTGTCATGTGTAATTATACTTTGTAATATTCATTATTGTGTCCCTTCATTCTTCTGATTCTCATTTTGGCTTCTACAAGGCACACTCTACTTCTTGTGATTGTGGTGGAGTGGAGGGTTTTGGTTATTCTCTGCTTCAACTTGAAAAACGTTAAGAGTGCATGCATGTTGTTTGAAGAGTAAAATATTTTTCTTGCTCTTTATTTTGCGCCTTCTCCTTTAGCTATCATCAGATTTCATCTTTTCTTGCCCTGTAGTTGTAACTGTTTGTGGTTCCTTTTTTCAAAATGTTGCAAGGATGTGATTTATGATATTTGGTTAAGAGTTTCTTTGGATGAATTTCTCCGTAAAGGAGAAAAAGTGCGAAGGAAAAAAAGGAATAAGCTTCTTCATAAGCTAAAATTAGTTTATACTAAAGCTAATTATTAGAAACTCTCTGATATAGTTTCCCAAAAACTTGTTTTTAACTAATGCATAAGCTTGTTATAGCTTATGAAGAAGCTTATTTATTTTTTTCTTCCTGTTTTTCATCTCTTGAAAGTGCTTTTGAAGAAGACTATCCAAAAAAGCCTCAAGTGAATATTTATAAGAGTGCATTTTTTCTTATGCTGCTTAATTATTGCTTTATTTGTGGTCTTGGTGCAACTTGCATACATTTTTTAATCAACTTCTCATTTGGCTATTGTTTTCTGTACTTTCCCTTTTGTTCTGGTGGACTTGGAGAAATGACATTGATGGTCTTTATTCTTTCAGGCTTCTATCAACTAAAGCTTACAAGTTTGTGGCATTCAAACAATTATATGGGAATTTGTGTGTCTAAGGTGAGAATATTGGGATACATCAATTATTCTTTATTGGTATGTTCATTAAAAGTTGAAAGCCTTGGGTCTTTCACCTGTTATTTCTGATAAATTGCTTTCTTCAACTGATAGCAAACTCTAAAAGCAAAATAAATTTCCTACAAAGTGTGTAGGGTGTTTTCTCATTCCCATTGTTTTCATGGATACCTTAAGGAAGGTCTTGTGTTTGCAATTTTGAGCTGATGGGTTTTTACCATGCCTATTCTTTGTGGCTGGGTTGTGTTGTAACTTGTATGTAATCTGTAGCAGATGGATTAGACAGTGTTGATGAAAACAAGATTAGAGGAAAAAATATAACAGGATTCAACAACTTCTGAAATATCTAAATATCAACTAATGCTTTATAGTTCAAATAATGAGAAGAAATTTTTAATTGTATATTGTAAGTAGCTGTTAGTCGGGTAATACAGATCATGTTAGAGAGGCAAATAATGTGAGAACTAATTTTCTATTTACAAACTTTTTTTTATTTTCTTCACTTACTTCTCCTGACCTCCATTTTTCTTTAACTTTTAAAGGTGGTAAAGGGATAATCTTTAATAACAACTATTTTGAAATATGTCTCTTTTCCACATCCCTATTCCTGCTTATCTTTGAACAATTGGACATGCAGTGTTTTTGGCTTATGAAAAACCTATTAATTCAGTATGTGACAGTACTCCATGTCTCCATCTGTTACTAGAAGTTTGTTTCTTCTGTCAGCCTCTAGCCCTGATTTTTCTGTTTCTTCCAGCTACTAGTTGCCAGAAATAAGGTTTAATAAATAAGTAGCTCCTGAACTTTTTGAGAATTTTTAATTTTTCCCCTAAACTAAAAAAATTGTAATTGAGTCCTTATTTTTCTATAATTTGTGTCATTAATTCTCAAAAAGTTCAGGGACCTACTGATGTATTAATCTAAAAATAACAATGGAAAGAGTTTTAGTGTTTGGTAGTTTTGGAAACTTTGTGAAGCCTCAATGCTTCTAGATCTTCATAATTTATCAGTCCACATCATTCATTGATAAACCAATTGATTGAGAAGTTTCATGTTTGTAATGCTTGTAGGCTAAAACTAAGGATGATGATTCTGATCATAATGTGGAGTTTGCTGCTGGGAATGTGAAACTTATTACAACCAAAGAAGCTTGGGACCAAAGTTTGGAAGAAGCAAGGAGGGATGATAAAATAGTAAGTTTTCCCTCTTTTTTACTCTGTAGGAGTAGAATGGTAAAATTAAAGATCTATGTCCATTGTGTTGTCTTGTTTAGCTGAACCACTAATACCTTACCATGATTTACCATGCATCTGTATAGTTTGGTAACATCTATATTTTCAATGCTTGACAGCAAAGAATTTTAAAAGTATAACTTTGGAATGAATTCTACATTTGAGAATCCATATTGATGAAATGCTGTGTCTCCTGTTTTGTTTCTTTTGAATGTTCTATTTTGTTTTCAAGCTAATTTTTGAATTCTGTTTCAATTATATTTCAAAAGTAACCAACATATTTACAGTTTCATTATAAGATTAGGGATGAGTTGTAAGATTTTGTGTAAGCACCTATTGAACAAAGACGTGTTCTGATTCAGAATCAGGATACATCATTGATTCCCTTCTATTAAATTTGACAAAAAACATTGAAGGGATTTTTTTTATGTTAATAGGGAGACTGGCATATAACAGTTGAAGAATTATCTTAGCATATAATCTGAATATCTGATAATCTCAGTGGATATCCTGTGATGAACTCTTGACACAACATGACTTTTTGTCTCTCTTTTGGCACGATTTTATTCTGGCTAGTTTAGTAGTGGCGTAAAAGTTGTGCAAACTAGGTATTACAATATCAAATTATTTTTTATTTGTACTCTCTCTCTCTATCTCTCACTAACACACAAGAGTGCATGCTTATAAAGATATTCTGATTTGATCCCTCCTGTTTTGAATAAAATTTATAATTTACTGTTTGCAGGTTTTCAGTATATTTTATGACTTTATTTTACTTGTTATTCTATATATTATTATTGGAGTTAGCTAACAAGTACCTTAAGAGCACTAATAGAGGAATATTAAGGTTCATTTTGGTTAAACATCTCAGCAGAAACTTGTAAGAGAAGAAATAAAAAAGTAAAATAAATAAAGTTTTTCCCCAAATTAAAACTAAGTTATGTATCTCAACTTTTGAAGAAGTTAGAATAGGGAAAATTTTAGAAATAAACCTAGGTGTATAAATTGATTTTAACTTATGGGAGAAGTTTGATTCATCTTAGTTCCCTTATTTTCTTCTCCTATAAGTATTTGTGCAGAAATTTAATCATACCAGGTCTACATATACTAAATGCTTCTAGTAACTTAAAAAAGCATGTTTTAAACGACTTATGTATTTCTAATATAATAGGTGCTTTCTTTATCAATAAAAACCTTCTATTGTATCCTTAAACAATGCCCTTTGCATTAGTTAGCATTTGCCTAATTTGTTTTCCTTGGGTACGATAAGTTAATACTATAAATCTATGTTCAACAGGTGATTGCAAATTTCAGTGCAACGTGGTGTGGTCCTTGTAAGATGATTGCGCCATATTACAGCGAGTTATCCGAGAAATACACGTCTATGATGTTCTTGTTAGTTGATGTGGATGAACTAACTGTAAGTACTGATGCAATAGATTGCTACTATTTCACACAATTATTTTGTATGAACTTGTATTCCCCTTAAATATAAACATAAAACAAACAAGTGCCACCTGCGGAAAACATATTCCTTCAACATGAAGTAAGGGACATTATTAATTTATTACATATTAAAGTTTGTTTGATGTCCATGTAGTTTGTCCCTGGTGACTGTTGAGTGTTCTTTGGGAAATACGTATATGTTTGGGTAAATTTTTTCATAAACACTAACCGGAGAAGAAAATAGTGAAGAAAAATGAAATAAGTTTCTTCATAAACTAAAATTTGTTTATGCATAAATTAAAGTAAGTTTTTGAAGAAGGTAATATGAAAGAATTTCTTCAAATTAGTTTATGTATGCTAATTTTAGTTTATGAAGAAATTTATTTATTTTTCTTTTTCCTCCTTATTTTGTTTTTATATAAGTGTTTATGGAGAGGTTTATTCAGTTAGACTGTCACATGCCAAGGCATTTTATTGAATATGGGTGGTTTCATATGTTGCAGGACTTCAGCACTTCATGGGACATCAAAGCCACACCAACCTTCTTCTTTCTCAAAGATGGACAACAAATTGACAAACTTGTAGGAGCCAACAAGCCAGAGTTGCAGAAGAAGATTGTTGCAATTAATGATTCAGTTCCCGAAACTAAGCAGTGACTGTTGTTTCATTCCTGTTGATGTGCATGTAATTTGTAGTTTTTTAAGTCACAAATCGTGGTCATGAGTGTTGTACTTGTTTTTTTTTTTTTTTTTTTTTTTTTTTTTTTTTTTTGCAGTGAGTGTCTTTGTATTTTTTCCTCGAATGTAAATATAAGACATGTCACATGAATTTCTCCAATTCAAAGTGATGTTGCTGTAATGTTGCTGTAGTTAGAACAAGCCTGTTTTGCAAATATAAAAATTTGTTGTTCTTTGTTGTTTAAGCAAACTCAATTTTGGTTCATGCCATATGCCTCCATTTCCGTGGAGTCAATTTGTGGCATGACATATGGTTATGACTGCAGTACCTTGTCCTTTTCATGTTTGTCTTAAATTTAGAAGTGGTCTCAAAGACTATATACAGAAGAAAGAGTGAGGTTATTGATTCGGTTAATGGTTTGTAGCAAAGCATTGTTAGACTAATGTTGCAGTCCTTCAAATAAGATCATTTTGCTCGTATTCCTAAAACAATTTTTGATCTTGAATGGATAAATAATGACACATTGGACTTTAAATTTCAGCATATAAAAATTACGATATTTTAAATTAAATGAAGAGTGAATATATATCTGACTGATCACTTGAAAGACGCATTTATTTTAAAGAAGTTTCAGCTTATTAAAATATGATGTTTTAAATCAAGATTAAACCTATCTCTGTTTTAGTGCACGTTGTCACTGTGTAACAAAATTTTCTCACATTTATTGAAAATTTTGTGGGGTTTCATAGTTTGTCTGAACTTTCAAATCTCCACTCCACAAAATGAATTTTCTTAATTAAATAATTTCCAGAATTAGTATATGTAAATAATTGAAATAAAAATATATATAACACATTAAAAATATAGAAATGTTTATTTCTTGAATATCAAGCCATTACTATAACTTAAAAATAAAAGAAAAAAAATATTCCTTTTGATACTACTACAATTCATGCTATTTTTTTAAGTTTGTAATATTTAATATAAATTTTGTTAATTTTGTTTAGTGTTTAGGGTTTAGGGTCCGAGAATAAATTAGTGACTCACATCTTAAAATTATTTTCTTAAAAAATAAATATGCTTTTAACATAATTTATACAACTTTATATATGTCAAATATATATATATATATAAATAAAATTAACCCGATTTCTTTACAAGGAAAAGGAAAGGGTGTTTATGGATATCCCAACATGGCTCGTCTCTCTCTTTTGCCATTGATCATGTGAAAAGTGAAATTGAGTTTTGTTGGACAATAACTTTAAGATGGCCAGCAATGAATATATAACCCCGAGTGGCTTAAAACTTTTCAACAATTACTTTATCTATTTTTTGTTCCACCCACTTTATCTTATGTCTTAATTAATCTTGAGTAATGTTATATATCTTTACCATATTTTTTTATAACTATTTTTAATATTTTATGAAGTAATTATTAAATAAAAATAATGCATAATATTTCAAGATAAAATAAAATATTTTTCATGTTGTTATCTGATTAAAAATCTTTATGTATAACAAATTTGTTGATTTTTATAATAATTACTTTAAAAACTATTAAAACGTGATTTCTAATTTATTAATAGTGTAAACTTTCTTTATACTAAGCTACATATTTTAATGAATAAGTAAAGTCAGTATAGTGGTTGAAATTGAAGTAGTATATACAAATCCTGAGTTCAAATCATGTTATTATCGTAATTTTCCTACTAATTAAAAGAAACTCTTTAGTAAATAATCTCTTTTTTGTAACAATACCTTGTAGCATTCGTTCATCTTTTCCGTTGAAGTGGCAACAAATGTCAAAAGATAGATCAATTGGTTAGCCCAATAGCTCTCGAAGCATCTCACACCTCAAAAGTTCTTTTGATTGTTCAAAAACATTAGTGATGGAGCAAGACATTCCTCACACAAAGATTACACCACCAGCTAATTCAAACCAACCAATTTGCAACTATGTGCCTTGCACACAAAAAGCTGAGATCACCTTCACTTCACTTCCTTTTAAACCATTTCCTTGGTCAATGCTTCATGTTTAATTTTTTTTGCTTATTTATATACTAATTTAGATGGTATAAACAGTGACCCCATGTATTAAGAGAAAGACACAAGTGAATAAACAAATATGACGGTGGAAGTTTGGTGCTAGCGTCACATTCATGAATGAGATTGGACCCCTTCCACATCCTTCCATGCCCTATTTCATGTACACATCTCATAGGTGTCGCTATTATGGAGTCATGCATACAAACCAAACGCTGAAAAGAGCTCTTCCTATCTAACTCCTTCACACGTTGTCCCTGCTGACCGTATTTATTGTATAGTTTAATAATATTTATTATTCTTTCATGGTTAGTGGGATCCAGAAAATATTAATAATAGTGATATTTTTGGGTTTTTTTCCCCCATAAGACACAAGAAATCTTACTTCTCAATTAACAGACTCCATCCACATGGATTCAACTGGACAAGGACCACCTCATATAATGCACATGGATCTTGGTGATGCTTATGTATACACCATCGATCATGCTCATGATAATGCGCATGCTAATGCTTGGTTTATAGTCAAGACCATAAGATCAAGAATCAAGATATCCATATGGTAACTTGACATGCATGATTTAGTGTCAAACACAATCTTTCCTTACTATCATACATTAATCCTACAAAATACTAGGTTATAAACAAGAGAAATTAACATTTTCAAGGAAATCAGTAGGTTGTTGACTAGTTGTGAATTTTATTTTATGACATGATCACATGAACAAAGTAGTGCTCCTTAAAAAAAGGGAGAAACCGAGAAAGTAACACTTAGTCTTTGTCTTCCACGTCTCATCAATCTTGGGAGGAAAGGGAGGGTTTTCAAAAATTCAGATCACAAGTCACAACAACCTCGTTACAATATGTTTGCTCTTCAATCTTTATATAACATGGCCACAAATTACAACTTACATAACCATAATAAATTAGAAACAACATACAAAGGAATAGCAATATTAAGAAAATCAATAACAAGTAACATTTTAAATTTGGTGAAAGCAGATTGCACTAAAGAACTTGATTGGTTGACTGTGTATGTAGTGAAAGTTTTGTTACTACATGACCTTAACGCCCCTTTGGATTCATGATCTGGGAGAACACAGCACTAGGGGTTAGCCCATCAGAGTCCTCACTAGCCAAGCTTCTACCTCCAATGCTCATTGAAATGCCACTGCTTCTGGAGTCAGTCACATTACCATCATAACCCGGCAACCCATCAGAGTCCTTCTTTCCTTTAGAATCTGCAAACAATGGCTCCACTTCACCATTGATGTCACCAAAGCCATTTCCACTCTCCTCTGCGCTTTCTTGCAGCTGCAAAGCGAATTCAAGGTTCCACAAGACATCACCCATTGATGGCCTCTCAATGCCCTGGTCAGCCACACACTTCATGGCAGTCTCAGCGAACTTCTTGAAGCATTCTGGAGCTATCTTGCCCTTTAGATAAGGATCAATGATTTGGTCAAGAATGCCTTTCTTGTAGCAATGAGATGCCCACTCAGCCAGACTCACTTGCTCCTTAGCAAGGGCGGGGTTCAAAGCTGGGCGAGCGCACAATATCTCAAACAAAACCACACCAAATGAGTAAACATCAGACTTGTCCGTTAGTTGCTGCCTCCTGAAGTATTCTGGATCCAAGTACCCAAAACTACCCTTTACTACAGTACTTACATGGGTATTATCCAATGTTGGACCAGTTTTTGACAATCCAAAATCAGACACCTTTGCCACCCACTTCTCATCCAGTAAAATGTTTGTTGTCTTCACATCACGGTGGATGATAGTGTGTTTAGCACCAGTGTGTAGATAGTGTAAACCTCGAGCAGCTCCGATGCATATCTCAAGCCTTTGCTTCCATGGAAGTGGAGGTTTCTGGGTCTTGTAGAGATGCTCCCTGAGTGTTCCATAGGCCATATAATCATAGACAAGGATCATTTCGGTATTTTCTTCACAGTAGCCAATCAGTGAAACAAGATGGCGGTGTCGGAGTTTAGAGAGCATTTCAATCTCAGTTTGGAACTCATGCACCCCCTGCTCAGATAGGGGATTCCCACGTTTAATTGCTACTTTGGTAGTTCCGCCATCAATTTCTCCTTTGTAAACCTTACCGAATCCTCCCACACCAAGAAGCAAAGCCTCATCGAAGTTGTTCGTTGCAGACTTGATTTCTGCAAATGAGAAATGACGACAAAGGTTTGATGGGAGTGAGGATGCATAACTTCCTGTTGTGTTGGTCTTGGCAGAAGCTGCAGAGTGTGAATTACCATAAAGAGAAAGTGGAAGCCAGCCAGATGGCCCTTCACTTGTACCAGAGTCCTTTCCATGCCTACGGCGACGGGATGCAGCAACAGCAAATAGCCCAATCACAAGTACTAAAACAACTCCTCCAGCAACAGCTCCCACAATTATGCCCGTATGATTCTTTGATTTACCATGATTAGATGCCCTAGCCATTGATGGGTCAATTATGTCTTGCACAGGAGGAGGAATAGGATTTGTCCCAGCGAGATTACCTGCAGTATCATTAACTTTGAATATCTCCACACCATTCAAGATTGCATCATAATACTGAGGCTTGTCGGTTGGATCTGGATGCAGCTGAAGCCACAGGTCCTGCCGTGGATCTCCATTGGGAACAAATACAACATAATCTTTATGCACTGGAACCCCATTTGAATGTGAAAGGCTATATTCATTTGCCCAGGCAATAACATCAGCCTGTGGCATAGCAGTTTGATTGTTGAGGAATATATCAAATACTCTCTGATTAATCTTGGTTATATTTGATGATACCTCAGCAAAATGGAGTCTGACAAGATAGGAAAACCCAGAATCAATGTTGAAGATCCAAGTCAAGTTGTAATTGGTATTGATCTTGGGATTTGGACCCATTGATCTGGCTGTAGTGTAAACATTAAGTGGAGCAATATAGCTTGGCGTGCCCGGAGGATACTCAAACTTAACATCCGGATCAGCAGGCTCAGTAACTCCAAATGCAGCCCCAAAGAGGAAGGGCACATCATCAGACCATGACCTAAACATACCAGTATCATGTGAGGGAGAGATATCATTCCCACCCACATTCAACCTATATACACACTCAAGAGCAGTGCTGTTGTCAATACTGAAAGCAGTGTTTGTACCTACTATCATCGTACTTTCATCGGTGGAGGTGTAAATCTCAGGCATGGACACAACCTCAATCCCATTAACAAACGCATAAGCATTCGAGGCATTGTTAGATGGAGTGAAAGTCACATTCAAGCTCTCCCCTTCCACATGGATGGCAAATTCCTTCATAATGTAGGCATAATTCAAGGCCAAGGTGGTCTGAGCAACACTGAAGTTCCTAAGCAGCGTGTAAGACTGCGCCGTCACCGCAAACAGCGCATCCGACGCATTGAGGCTCGCATATGAAGCCGAGTAAAAGTGCAGCCGGAGGAACTTCCAGCCGGAAGCCACCGGAAAAGTATACGTATAAGGCGCGTGGAACACACGCGCCGTCATATAGGGCACCTGAGGGACTGCAGGGTCCTGTGTTGCCGCCTGCGACGTGGTGGTGGATTTGGCAGAGGAGGAACCAAACTTGGAACCAACATCAGTGGTCCATTGACGACCATCAGTATCTTTACTAACCGGAGGACCTCCACAACTCAGCAGAATGTTATCTGTAGGTTTAAAATCCTCTGCTACAGCAAGTTCAATAGCCAATACCAAGCACACTACCAATGGAACACAAACATAGTACCGATTCATGCTCCTCTTCATCATGACACAAAATTCCAATCCAAAACCAAATCAAATCCTAATCCAAACCCCAAAACCCTGCTTTGTTTTCTCGCATACAATTGCACAAACACCTCTTGTATGTAATTACAGTTCACACACACCCAGAATCGGAAATCAAACAAAGACCACAGATTTGATGCAAAGATCTGATTTTTTTGGGACCCAGATCAGGAAAAGGAAGTGGGGTGGGGAGTCATGATCAGCTCAGCTAGGACCCGGATTTTCAAAATCAGCAAAATGACGAATTAGGGTTACAGTGAAGAACAGGGTGAACAAAGAAAGGTGTGTGATAATCACTAATGAGGGCAAGGATTATGTGAAAATTGGAGGGAACCGGAGGAAGAGAAAGAAGGGGGTGATTTACCTCACGCCATGAGAAGAGGAGCTGAAAAAGAAACTCGGTGAGTCAAAGCGGAACGATCCCGATATTTTAGGGTTGGGATTGGATTTGCCAGGTGCTTGAAGCTGGAAACACCAGAGAGAGAATGGAAGAAGATGAATAGAGTGAGAAAGTGGCATAGAATTGAAAACCACCTTAAATACCGCACCTACATATTGTAAGAGAAAATAATACTATTTCTCAATAAAAAAGAAACCCAAAAAATAAATAATTAAATAACTTTACTTAAGATTTTCTTAATTAAGAGCAAACTTAAAAAAATTTATATAAATTTTTAGTAGACATTTCCTTACACAAGATATCGAGATAAAACTATAAATTTAAGTGAAGAATAAATTGTTTTACTGTATCTCTATTTTTACGTTTAAAATACTCATTCGAACATTTATGACATTCTTAAGTTAACGTAAATATTACAATATCTTAATAATACTATTTTTATTCAAAAAATGATATTTTCTTATATGTATTGATTACGTCAATATTTTATATTTTCTCTCCTTTTTTTTAATCTTTTTCTATTTAAAAAAAACCACGTAAACTAACTGTGCAAATTTGTCTGAATATAAATGAATGAATTTCTTCATTCGTTAAATTACAAAAGTATCATTATTTTAAGATGTTAAGAATTAGAGTTAACAAAACAACATTTATTCATTTTAAAAACATGTTTACTAAGATATTTGAATTCGAGTTATGCTAATAATAAGAAGAAACTTTTACTATATTTAACATTTTTTTTATCATTAATTATATAATTTTAATACACATATATTATATTTAAAAGAATCAAATAATATATTAATAATATTTGACTATAATGCAACGAATCTCTATAGCTGTTTCCCTGTTATTTGTTAACACTTGTGCGCGCTAAACTCAACTTGGCAAAATTGACTTTTGAGATTCATGTTTTTTCAGTGTAAAACAGTGACAATGATGATTAAACCTTCGATTTCTAAGGATGACGGTTCAAGACATTTGAATTAAAACATGAGTTAATTATTTATATATAAAAAATTTTTACACCAACAATTAATTCTATTTTTTAATAATATTATGTCAGAAACTTATTTAATAAAATAAGTAATTTTAAAATATATGATTGATTGTCGGTGTAAAAAGTTTTATGCTAACGATACATGAATGATTAATTATTAAAATATTAATATAAATTATGAATGTATGATTAGATGTGCTTACTAATTCGGATTTCGACATATCATATTATAACTTTAATAGAATTGAATATATTAATTAAATATTATAGTTCTATGTTTTTTTTTTTTTTTTTTTTTGTGGAAAGGAAAATAGGAATTGAAAGGGTGATGATTGGATGACAGATAAGTTTTGCAAGGAAGGCAGTATCTAACAGATGGAAATGAGAAGCACGCGTTTGTTCGAACATCCAACTTGCAAACGCGTTTTCTTCTAATTGCTGTCACTCGTCACTCTCACTTTTTCTATTTATGCTAGTGTGCTTAATTGCTCACCTAATCTACACCATAGTATAAATTAAATCAAATCATACGATCCAAAATCGTTTAATAATTTTTGTTTATTTATACACAACATGACATTCTTTCTTCTGTTGTCCTATCCCATTTTTAATTTTCTTTAACTCGTAATGTATGCATGGTTCCTTTTTTTTTTTTTCCTGAAAAAATAAAAAAGGATTAAAAGTGTGCCTATCTCGTGATACATGGATAATTTCTAGTGTTGTACTTATTTGCTTCCAAGTCTTTTCAATAAGTAATCGGTTGATGAAATCTCTGACGCAAACTATTTGTTTGGTGTAAATGAATTGCGAAGGAGGGAGCAGGAGAGAAGAAGAGTGTGAAAGAATGGAAAAGAGAGATTTTTGTATTTGGGGTAGGTGATTAAGAGAAGAGAAAGTATGAAATTAGTCAAAGGAGTGTAATAAATCTAGTTAGGTCGATTTTGCATACAGAACTATTATACGAGTAATAAATTTAGTTAGGTTTGAATACAGAACTATTGTATAATTCGATCAAAATTTAATGAGTTAAGGTTGATAAAATTTATATGTTTTTTTTTTAATTTAACTCAACTCAATTTAATTATGTATATTAAATTGATTTAATCATGTTAACATAATCAAATTTATTTATTTATAGAAATTTAAATATTTTTAAGTAGATATAAATTATTTGATATTTTATTGTAAATATAATGTTATCAACTCGTACAATATAATAAATATTGATACAAATTAAAATTTAAAACAAATTTATTAATTTGCTATATTGTTATCAACTAAAATAATCAACATTAATACAAAATAAAATTTAAAATAAATATGTTGTATTGTACGATGTTATTAAAACAAAATCACAAACTTCGTTATTGAGAAAGAGTGATAAAAAGTATTGTCATAAACAAGTGATCAATCAAATACTAATTATTATTATTATTATTATATGATTGAGTTAGGTTAAGTCATGAGTCAAAAATACAAACCTATTACTCGACTCATACCATGTTAGGTCTTGATTGAATTAGGTCTAATATGAATACTTAAAAAAAATCGATCTGAACTTGTTGGATTAGTTTGAGTCATTTTGAGTTCATGAGTTATCTATAACGACTTACACCCTTAATTGGTGGTAATATGAATTTGGTGAAGAGAGAGAATCTTTTTTAATACACGTTGAATTAAGTGGACTAAAAAAGAAGAATGAGTTTTTGCATTTGTATCCTTGTATACATGATGATCAATAATTTGCAATGCAATCATTGACAACCATAATCAATTATGACAATTGCATAATGGATTATAAAAGTCAAATTTTAAGCTATAGTAATTTTCTATATCCATATAATCAATTATGTAGCGAGCATAATTGATTATGTGAACTCTCTAATGCATTTTGACACTCTTTGGTAGTCCATATAACTTATTATGATCACCATATAATATATTATATGGACTTAATTAAAAATTAATAAAATAATAAATTAATTGTAAAGGTATATATGTAAATCATTTTATAATATCATTTTACGATTCCCACCTATGTCCCCTTGGTTGCTTGGCTGGGATAGAACCAATGCTTAGTAAGTAAGTTATGGTCTAACGATCCCCTAGGTTGGAGTTATGACACTTACCTTATTTATTAGAAATGACTTTTTCATTCAACTTGCTAATTAGGGTTGGCATCGAAATTCTATGCAACCTCATAACATACAAAAAGTTTATGAGTTCATAAGTTCTTTTAGGGAGAAGGGCGACTTTGTAGTAATTGAAAATGAGTAAATAGAGGGTAACAAACAAAGAGGTAGCTAAATTGACTACAATTGCATATAGTTAACTTCAATTCGAAACCTTATCGAGGAATTTGAATCTAGTTATGCTAGAACGAATGACAATTGTTTGACTAGTATATTTTAGTATAAATATGTAAGTTTTCAATAAATAAACATGAGAATATTAAAATTGTTATGTGCCTTTTTTGAGAAATGATACTTGTACAACAATATATACATCATTTTTTTTGTTTATTTCTCTCCATTAATAAATGTAATGAATGGTGCGAAGGAGACTGACAATAAAAAAATGATATATGATCTATTGTACTCATATTATTTGTTTATTTATTAAATCATAGGTATAAGAATGGATTGGGTAGTATTCACTTAGGAAAGTAATATTTGGACACCTAAGATGCTATGTGACACCTAGTAAGGGGGAGATAAAAGAGAAAAATGTAAAATATTATAGGTGATATGATGTGATAGAAAAAAGAGATGATGATATGATGAGAAAAAAGTAATGGTACCTACACTTTTCTTCCACTTTCTTCTTGTTTTTGCTTACACCATACCTATTAAATCATCCTAAATCATCACAATTCTACACACTTCCTTGACCCTCTCTCTCTTTTCCCTCCCCCTTTCTACACTTCAACTACACCAAATAAAGCATTAATTTGAGTTTGGTTTAGAGAAGTAAAGGGGAAGGAAGAAAATAGAAAGAAAGGAAAAGAAGAGAAAAGAAAAGACAAAGAGTAAAAAGTTGAAAGATTTTTTATTGTTTGATACAAGAGAAAATGAAAAGAAAGAAAGTTAAGTAATATATATTTTTTAAGTTGATAAATAATATTTACTTATAATTTTATTATTTAATTATAAATGTTACTAAAATAATTACGTAATGCACATTTTTGTGCTTTGTGTGCCAATTTTTTTAGTAGATTTTTCTTCTTTTCCATCATAATTGGGAGGATCCACTTTTAACATGAGACTCACTTATTAATTTTATTTTTCTTTAGTGTTGTGTGTAACCGAACAAGGGACAATATGCAAAAGTGACATAACTAATTTTTTTTTTTTTTTGTTTTCATTAGTTAGAATCTGCAATCAAATCAACTTTTCTTGCGTAAAAAAAGAATTACTAGAATTGACCTAATGTTGAAAATTGAGGCAATATGCACAAAGTTTTAAATTTGAATCTTGTTGTCTCTAATGAATAAAATATAAAAAATATTTTTTTTTTTACTTTTTGTTCCATCTTGAATCTCTTCTTACACTTTCATCCATAATAAACACACTATTAAAGAGGAGTGTTAATAAAACTTACTAATATATTTTCTTATAGGTCAAAATTTATTTAAAATTAAAAAAGCGATATTTATTAAATAAAGAGTGACACACAATCTTGTAACTTTGAACCAAACCCTAATCTTGGCTGTTGTAATCTCCAATTAATGGCACACATAATAGCAAAATGATCACTACAGGTGTTAGGTAGAGCTGTTATATGGCTTTATTCAAATGATAGGTTGTAAAATAGAAGCTGGTGAAGTGCGGAATACAAATTAAAAAAGTTTTTTAAAACTTCTCAACTCAAAATAAAAAATATTTTTTTAATAAAAAATCTCTCAAAATATTCAAATAGACTCTAATTAGCCACTCTCATATTTCATCATCATCATCTTCTTCATACTTTGGTCAAAATATGAAGCTCACTGAAAACAAATATCTCATCCGTTACATTGAGAAAAGAGTGAAATATCACTGTACTAACCAAGAAAGGCTGAATTTAATAATTCTTCTTTTTTAACAATGGCGAGAAAGATCTTCAACCTTAGAACTTTGTATAAATTATCTAAATTCTTCGACGTTAAGTCGGCCGTAGTGGATTAAGTAGAATTGATTTTAAATTATTGAATGAGATTGAAATTTGCATTAAAATTAATTTGACCCATATATTTATATTAAAAGTATATTTTCCATTAAAAAATACAAGCATTGATTTGGCTAGTTTAAAACAGAAAAGACTAGGCTGTGGAAAAATTGAAGTTAACGCTGCTGACCAATTATTGTGTGGAAGTGAAAAGAAAATCTCAGGTCCATGCTTCAGGTGTACATTTTTTATTTTTTAGATCCAAAACTACATTAGGATTAGGCATTTCTATTGTGCATCAAGGTTTTTTGGAGCTAGTTTTTTACAGGAAAAAGAGGCCACAGAAAGCCCAATAATAGAGCTAGGCCACGAGGCCCAAGCCTAAACAGTATGCCGTATTAACAGATATGTCTAATTTTACCCCAATCACACTTACTCAGCTACCTAAAGGTAAATAAAATAAATAAATAAAAACATTTCCAAAATTAAATGATTATATTTTTACCTTAAACACCATGACTAGATTGAATGGAACCTGAGATAACCCTAATGATAATGATCACTATTTTCATCTACCCATTGAGTGTTGAAGATCTCATGTTGTAGAAGACTAGTGATGAAATGAAAATAACAAGGACAACTTCTATCTTACATATCAAATTTGTGAATTTAAATTAATTCTAAATCTTTTTTTTTTTTGGTAAAGATAGAAAAGATTTCAAAGATGGTCGCAATGATGATTGAACCTAGGTCCTCATGCTTCTGACTACCCCAACCCCTCCCAACCCAACTACTAGGCTAACCCTAGTGGTCAAATTAAGTCTAAATTTATAATTTTAGATATGCCTAATTTTATAAGTTTCAATATATCTAATCTTTAATGTAAAGAATGTGTAAAAGGTCTTATATCTATTAGTGATAACAATAAAGTCAAAATAATGTATATAAAATACCGATAAATTCAAAGTAGTATATATAAAATAGTGATAAATTCAAAGTAATATATATAAAGAGAAACCTTCACCTTATAAACCACCAATTTTAGAGAAAGTAAAAAAAAAATCTTATTTCTCATTATTACCTTTAATTTTTTTCGGGTACATAAGATCTTTAGAATTAAAATGGTGTTCAAGTGTAGCAAGAGATTTGGCATCATCAATTTGCATGGCACACTACAATATCTTAACATATGTAATAGGTTATCCTTATACCAAAGAAACAACTATTTTGTTCGTAGCCCTTTACCTCCCTCCCTCTTGCATATATCCTCCATGTGTCAAGTACATAAGACTTTAGGAAGGTAAGAAAGCAAAATACTAAAATCAATTTGCATGTCAACAGCTTTATTATTTTATATCATCTGAGTGACTGATTCCATTGAGCTGGTACACTAAACAAGGTGGCAAGCTTCTAGCAATAGAAGCAAATGACAGTGTTTATTGAAGTGAAGCCCGAATACAAGTTACCACTCAGCAAGAAAAACATGTTGTTGACATCAGAAGTATTCAAAAGGTGTCAGAAATCAGAACTCAAGCCACTGGCTTCAGCACGTACATTTTACACGCATGTGGTTCAACTGTGGCAGTCAATTTATCCTTGAAGTGTGTCTTCAATGTCTTGTGCTGCATGCATGCATTAGCAGATACATTATAGCACAAGTACCCAAAAAAATTGTGATGAAAACAAAGCATGCAAGACTACAACACAAAAGATTGAAAATGTATCCAAGGACTACAATATATACCTCCCAAAGGTCTCTTGCTTCGACAACACTTTTTGGTGGAATACCAATGTCATCCCATTCGGCTGTTATGGCATATCTCCAAGGGCCACGATTAAGCAAGACAACAGCTACCCTGTACCCTGAAAGAGGACCTGCCCAAATCTGTCCAAAAAGATTACTTATCATCAATTATTTATTCATTTAATATAGTTCTCGCTAAAGTTGATTAATCAATTTTCAATAGAGATTAGTCATTAATAAAGTCAATAAATATTTTAAACTAATAATATGATTATAAAAAAATTCATCTAAAATTATTGGCAAAATCAACTAATAACGTGATTATATATTTTTTTTATTCATCCAACATTATTGACAAAATCATGTGTTCAACTTACCTCAATATCACCTTCCATCCTAACCTTTTTACCTTGCACACCAAGTGAATCTGACATTGTTTGAGATAATAAATATTAATATTTAATAACAGTAGAATACTAAAATAAATATTAATCACAGAATGACCTTAGTTATTATGTATCACCTTGGTTAACTGCAATAACTTCCTTGTTTGATACTATCTCCATAGTCTCTTTAGTCATATTTCTAACATCACAGCCAAGAAGAAGAGGAGCCTGCAGTAAACCTATGCATGAGGGAAAAAAAAATCCTTGTACATGCTTTAATATGAATCATATATTTGAAAACAAAAGAGTAATCAGTAATGGTACTACCTTGGAAAGGGCCCATAAACTGAAGTGAACAATATATTCATTTTTTGTCATTCCTCCATTTCCCACCTCTAGCATGTCAGGATCTGTTGAGTTTACATGTTCAATGGATATCATTACTCTCAATTGGATAAAATATCTATCACACAATGCAAGGTTAATGAAATTCTAACCATTCCAACCACCAGCTCTTGCATAATCAGCGTAAACTTCATTCATGTCTGCCCTTGAAATCATGCTGCCAAAGATAATAGTTACACCTCTGTTAGCTACAAATCCATATTAATTGAATTTTGGTGAATAGCTACAAACTCTACTTGATCACATTTCAAGACCAATTAAGGAGTGTCTATATCACTATATATTGTCTCTCTTAGTTAAATTTCATACAATTTCTTTACCAATCCAAATTAGTTCAATTCCTGGTGAACAGCTACATGCTGCTTGATCACATTTCAAGACCAATCAGGGAGTGTCTATTGCTATTCCAATGTTCCTATAGCCAAACTTATTTAATTAAATTTTGTAGGTTATTAGTTTGATTAAAAAAGAGTTTGCTTAACAAAGAAAATGCAGGATATTTTAGATAAAAAGATACTATTTGAATAGGAGTAGCAACAGACACATGATAGTGGTAATATAAATTTTGTCCATTTTTATCAACAAATTAAATGCATAACCTTCACCTTTCCCATGAATCACCAATGTCATTAGTAGTTCTCCAGCTATTTCCCACTTTAGCACCCCATAAAGCAGGGTGCATGTCTCCCCTGACAAACAAAGCACATATGATTAGAGGAAAGGTCTCAAAAAATTGGTGGAGCAATAAAGTACTAAAACAAATAAAATTACCATTCACAAAGTGAGACGAAGATTGGACGACCAGCCTTCATTAAAGCCCGAGTCATAATAGGGTATCTATGAAGACCATAGTTTTCAAAATTATATAAAACAACCAAAGTTGAGTATTAAAATATTCAGTTCAAGCAAATACTAAAACATAAAACTAGTAATAAACAAATATACTTAAAAGTACCTAACAGTTGGTTTTAATCCACCATTGTTACAGTTATCATACTTCAAATAATCAATACCCTGTAAACAAACCAAAACAACCATTTGCTTAATTGCATTGGTTTCAAGAAAAAAAGATGAAGAAATGAGCACAATGTTCAATACCCATGATGCAAAAGTCTTGGCATCTTGAAACTCATGACCAAGAGAACCAGGCATCTGTTTGCTACATGTAAAATACCTGTAAAAATGACCAACCTAAAATTTAGCTAAATAAAAGAGTTGAAAAAGCACATGGGACAAATTTGGTTATTGTTAGGCTAAGTCTAGTACCCAGCATCTGAATAAATTCCAAGCTTAAGACCCTTGCTGTGAACATAATCTGCAAGAGCTTTGATTCCAGAGGGAAATGTTGATTTTTTTGCTACCAGATTACCCTATAACACAACAACAACAACAACAATAGCCTATTACATTGTCTGAAGCAAAAAAAATAAAAAAAAATCATCAAATGTGAGAACTTTCAGAAGGAAATGCAAATGCAGTGAAGCATATAAAAATCATACCTTATCATCCCGATTTAATTCAGCCCAACAATCATCTGCAGTAATGAAAAATTGCGGATTAAGGTTAACTGCTTGTGCTTATGCCATTTTTCAAAGTAAAAAGTACAAGAACAATTAATAAGAGACTCGAAAATAGTAGTTTTAAACTTTTTTATATACCTATATTGACATATGTGTATCCAAGCTTGGAAAGACCAGTAGAAACAAGGGCATCGGCTGTAAACCCATATAGAAAATTCACAATCAAACTAAATTCTCAACGAAGTGGATCTTTACTTAATACTAAAAGTCAAATATATACACGTGTGTGTGAGTGAGAGATAGAAAGACCACATACCTGTTTCTCTGATGATTTTTTCGTTAATTTGACAATTAAAATGATTCCAACTGTTCCACCTGAATCAAAAGGAAATGTTACAACAGCTCAGTATCATAAATTTTCTGATAGAAAAATTTGGAAAAAGACATGAATGAGTTGTTTTTAGTTGTTACTACTTATTTTAAGGTATGAGAGAAAAACAAAGAGTGTTTTCTCAAAGATTCTTGCTAGCACTATTCACAACACAGCATAAACCAACGTCTTGGTTGAGCAATAAAGTAAAAAAACACTTATTCTTACAAAGGGAAGAAACATAGTGAAGTTGAACACAAATGACACACATACATACATACCCCATTGGAGGAGTTCTACCAAGGCTATTAGCAAGCAGATTCCTCCTGAACTGCTCCACATGGTGGTGGAGTTTTGATGATGATGATGAAGCAGTGGAACAAGTCAATGAGAAAAGCAAAAGGGTCACCGAAACCACCAGCATCTCATAGCAGATCCTTTTCTCCATTGTGTTCACTTTGCAGTGAGAAAGACAAGGCCCCTTATCTATTTATGCAAGAATGTCTTGATTATTGTGCTCTTCAGTCCAAACTCGTTCTTTTTACTGTGCTACATATAATTTAACCGCGATTTTATCAAGAAATTACTGCATATAATGTTGTACTAGTGACTACGAATTATCAGAAGAAAAAGAATAAATAAGACTTAGTTATATATCATGAGATTAATTAAAACTATGGTATTCTTAATCTTGTAATAATTTCTCAACTTTACGAAGCTTATTACATATTATAAAAAACTCAAATCTACACAGCAAACTTATCGTAGATCATTAGAAAAGGTTAGACAACATTTATCTACACACCGAGCTTAATAATAGTGAATAATAGTCAGATCCATCCCCTTTATGCGGGACTATTAATCATAGTCATTTTCTGAAAGATAAAACGAAAAAAGAAACTGAACTGCATCAACCTCCGTACAAATTCCAATAATAGTGATCATCATTAATTGTTATGTCCTCATTTTTTTTTTCTTTTTGGAACCTTTGTACCTCAATCTAGTTCTATATGAAATTTGTGGAAAATAAAACCAAGATAAGAAGCTTGCTGTTTGTTGCAAGGTCACTGTGTTCGAGGGTACATTCGTAATCTTCTAATAATTTGAGAGCCAAACGAGAGTTTCGGACGGATGCTTTAGAAGGGGAAGGTACCTGTAAAAGGTACTCCAACACTCAATTCAGAACAAATACGATTCTCAATAGTAATAAATGAATAGTGCATATCTCGTTTTACGTGACCTATTTATACTACTTGTAATAGGCCTCAAATGTGTGAGTCTCTTTTGATACTTACCAAATTAAGTAATACAGTACTAATCGGCTGATTATGCCTTAATCACGTGTTTGTCCTTGTTAGTCATGATTATCATCTTAATCATTGCTTGGTCTTATCGGCCGTTGGCCGAGCCAAGAGATGTAAGATCGGGGTTGCCTTTTGGTCTTGATCTCTTGCCGAGCCGAGATGTTGCTAAGAAGGCCAACCAATTACGCTGTCCAGGCCAAGTTTTTGATGGTCTTATAGGTTTGTTATCACGACCATTGCCGTGTCGAAGAAACGTGTCGAACTAACTGAGTCTTTATGCTCCGATCATATCAGTGGCCGAGATGGCCAAGACTAGTGCGTAAACAACTTATGTCTCGACCTTCTTGGTAGTTGATAAGGTGTTACGTGTCGATCCACTTGGTCGATACAACCCTTCGAATACAGTCACCATGCATATCTTTCCATTTTACAAGCAGCATTGTACTCCTTAATCAGAGTTACATCTCCACGCTGTCTATTATTACAGAATATAACTTTTATTGTTTTAGGAAATTGTTGTTATTATTGGTTATCATAGGAAATTAGAAAGTGGTGTTTGTATTTCAAAAGTGAAGATTCTGGTGTGCAGCACATAATAATAATTAAAAAAAAAAAAAAACTCAGGAGGGACCACAAAAGGGAAGTTTGATTTCCTTTTTGACCAATGCATGTTAGATGAAATTAGAGGATAAGGATATCCCAATATTTATTCACCGAACGCAATTGTTTTCGGTTCGTGTGAACTATCTAGACTGTAGAGTAGTCGGTGGGAACAAATTATACTAAGTTAGAAATGAAGGAGAGGATCTTATTTTAACAATAAACTAATAGCTATGATTTGAAGTTGTTGATTGTGGTTTTTATTATGCATTATTATATAATTAAAATAGTTTTATAATAATTATTTTGAAATTTATATGTCAGATAAATTTTAATTAATTAATAATGTAACTTTTTATATATATACTAATAGTATATTAAAAATAAACTTATTTAATAAACAAATTACTTAATATTTTAGAGTTTCTTTCCACAGCTTGCAATCTATTTTACAATGAGTTCTTCTTTAAGCTTGTCATTTACTTGTTTTTATATATAGTGTGGAAATTTTCCGTTGTCCTGTCCTCTTAAATCTCAACTTTAACTGCCCAAAAGAAACAAAAATCTTATAAGAATTGTTCTTGAAGTTGTGCTAAATAGTTTACTAGACTATCTACCCAAAAAAAATAGTTTACTAGACTAAATTTTATAAAATTTAATTCACAATTTCATTTTTTTAGTTTTTATTTTATAATTTTAAGCTTTTAATTTTATAAAATTTGTTCACAGTTAAAATTATAACTGTAACGACCCGGCTGGTCACTACACTCACAACCATAGCACACCGAAAACACTAGACAGAATAGAACGAGTATATAAATATAGGATCTAGAATATAATTATATACAATGTTCCAATCCGACTAGAGTTAGAGTGTACAAATGAAATACAACCAAAGTAGCCAGATAATGGCCTAATAAACAAACATCCTCCAAACAAGACTCCTCCTTTTGCCAGCTGCAGACTTGCCACTATCACTAGTCTAACCCTGCTCTGCTCCCATACATAATATGATCATCGCAGTCCAAATCACATGGAAACAACTAAGGGTAAGCTAGTGAAAAGAAATAACATACATATATATATATATGAATAGTAAATAGCTACCCCTTATCAACACATCAAATCAACACATCAATCAGCTTTAACAAAATCAATTTAAAATACCACAACATTTGGCAATAACAACACACATCTCACATCATCAGCATACAACATAACAGCAATAAAACATACAGTGCGTCGTCACGCATATAAGTTAGTATTGGTCGCTTGTAATCGGTATAGGTCGACCTGGCCCCTATACCGTGGTCGCTTTGTACACGTGTGCCTCGACCTTGCCCACACACGGGACCACTAAGACTTAGAGGAGAACAGCAAGTTACCACTCCAAGGGTCAGCTTTCCAGGGAGGGTTTTCAACAAATTGGGCTCCAAGAGCACCACAACCACTCAATCCACACAATGGGATGAGGAATTTCGAAAACAACTCCTCTAGTCTTAGTGATCAACAACTCAGCCTTTCGGCCTACATCACCTCAGCCTTTCGGCCTACAACACCTCAGCCTTTCGGCCTACAACACCTCAGCCTTGCGGCCTACAACACCTCAGCCTTTCGGCCTACAACACCTCAGCCTTTCGGCCTACAACACCTCAGCCTTACGGCCTACAACACCCAATATCAACACACAGTACAACACAACTGTACAACTCAACATATCAACTCACAACAGTATACAACTGATACAGCTCAACGTATCACCTCACAACAACATACAAATGATACAACTCAACATATCAACTCACAACAACATACAACTGATACAACTCAACATATCAACTCACAACAACATACAACTGATACAGCTCAACATATCAACTCACTAAATGTGAAAATGACAACCTTCTCAGAAAACAGCGCATCAGGAGTTATACTACTCCTACCATACTCATCCTTATCTCATATGAAAGATAAGAAGATTTCCTACAACTCTCAAGAAGACACCAAGTCCTAATTCCTTCATATACCTTGTTAAAACTGATGAAAACCGCAACAGCTATAAGTAAAGCTGGCAGCTTGACCCCTCTTCACTTAAACAGTCATATCTGGAGTTCTAAAACTCCTTTTTGGGTGATTCCAGTGCCATTGGAAAGCTAAGATCCAAGGCTACAACTTTAATGAAGACTACAAAGTCCAATTCTGAAGGCACAAAGGCGCTCAGCGCCTACAAAGCGCTCAGCGCTTTACCTCCAGGGATTCTCCTCTTGCTCTCTGCCTCAAAGGCGCTCAGCGCCTTAAAACGGCTCAGCTGTTTGGTTCCAGGTGGCTCTCTGCCCCCAAAGCGCTTAGCGCCTTAAAACGGCTCAGCCGTTTGGTTCCAGAAACCCTCCCTTGCCACGAAACTCCCAAAGGGCTCAGCCGTTCAAAACGGCTCAGCCGTTTGTGACAACAAACAATCCCTCCTCCATTTTTGAACAACAACCTGCAACAATCCAACAGCCCAAACACATGCAAACCCTCCAAAGAACTACATTTTCGTCAATTAACACAAAAACCCCTTCTTTTTTAACATGCAACCAAAAATCATCAAAACCCCAAAATTTCACCCCAAAACCCCAAAAACCCGAAAACGAAAATTTCATCAAAACAGCTCGTCAATCATCCAAAATCAAACAACTTAAGAGTTTTTCAACTCATTCTCAACCCAAACCAGCAAAACCTAGCTTCCCTTACCTCAGTGCGAAGGTTCCAAGTTCTAGGAAGAAAAGGACGAAGAACGAAGGAGAAAGGAGAGAATTCAGCACCCAGCTAGCTCCACTTCAAGATTGTGAGAAAGGACCTCCAAGATCACTCACGGCTCCAGCTAAAGGAAACAAAATCAACCACAAGGAATTTAGAGAAAGGAAGAAGAATAAGAGTGAGTGAGAGATAAGAATGAGAGCTTGAGAGTGAGTGAGAAAGAAAAAAAAGGGGGAGGGGGTCACGGACCTCACAACCTCCCCAACAACAAAAGTTTTCGTCCTCGAAAACATACTTACTTGGGAAAAGAAACGGATACTGCTCCCTGCACTACTGCTCCACCTCCCAAGTAGCCTTACCAGTAGCTGCATCCCACAACACCTTCACTAGAGCAATAGACTTACCCCTCAACTCCTTCAGCTCATGATCAACCACAGCTACTGGCAGCTTCTCAAATGTCAGGTCCTCTTCAATTGCACATCATCCAGCTCCACCACATGACTCGAGTCATGGACATACTTCCTCAGCTGGGATACATGAAATACATCGTGTAGATTCGAAAGAGATGGTGGCAAAGCCAACCGATAAGCAACCGGACCCACACGCTGTATTATCTGATAGGGACCAACAAACCTCGGGGTCACCTTCCTTGCTTTCAGCGCTCTACCCATACCAGAGGTTTGGGTCACCTTCAGAAACACATGTTCCCCTTCAGAAAACTCTAAAGGTTTACGCCTCTTATCAGCATATGCTTTCTGCCTACTCTGAGTTGTCTTCATCCTTTCCTGAATTAGTTTCACCTTTTCAGTAGTCTGTAGAATCAACTCCGATCCCACAACTAATGACTCACCATCTTGATACCAGCACAGAGGAGTCCTACATC